AATGAATCCTGGTGGAATGACAAGACAGCCCTCTTTTGGTGGACGTGGTGGTATGCCAAATCAACAACAGCAAATGAATCCTGGTGGAATGACAAGACAGCCCTCTTTCGGTGGACGTGGAGGAATGCCAAATCAACAACAGCAAATGAGTCTTAGTGGACGTGGTGGTATGCCAAATCAACAACAGCAAATGAATCCTGGTGGAATGACAAGACAACCTTCTTTTGGTGGTCGTGGAGGTATGCGTTAACCGGAGATGCAGCATCGCCTTATGGGAGAAATGTGGGTCTGCTGCGTTTAACGAAGATACACCTCTAAATTTAGTATCCTTTTCTCTTCTTTTTATAAGCTGTTTGTGTTTTTTTTTTTTTTTTTTTTTTTTTTTTTTTGTATCCTTCCCCCTTTGTCGTTTGAATGCTGAAAGTCTTTTTTAGTAGCAAACAGCTATTTTTCTTTCTTTGGTATTTATCTAAAGAATTGCTTGGACCACTGGAAGATTCCTTGCGGTGTGTGGGTGCAAAATTTCTCACTGGGTACTCTATACCCCCTCAACGGACTCTTTCTCTGTGTGGGTTTAACAACACCTGGATGGAAACTGTCTTACAACTGCAAAGCCTATTGAATATTACAGAATGTGTTTTTGTTTTTAGTTCTTCGGTGTGTGTTGATATATTTTTTTTCTCTAGCACTTTTTTCTTAACTGGTGATTTCGTGTCTTTCTTTATCTCTTTTTTTTATTTTTATTTTTCTGGATTTCTGTCTTTCCCCAGCACAAAAAAAAAGAGTCGAGACTATTGTCGGTGGCGTACCTTGATTTTTTTTTTTTTTTTTTTACCTTTTTTTTGTTTTTTGTTTTTTATTTCTTGCCGATATCTGTATCTGCCTGTACACTTCTACATGTTTTTATCTGATTGGAAGTATTTGTGTAGTGGGCCTCATATGATTCTGTGGAGGCCATGTGTCATCATGGGAGTTCTCCTAATGGAAAAAAAGTAACTAAAATATGTTATCAATAGGAGGTGCCTATGTTTCCTTTATATTGTCACCCCTCGCTTTTTTTTTTTGTTGTTGTTTTCGTTTTCTGCAGATATTTATTTTACTTGTTTTCTCTTTCGGATTATGACCGTCTATATATATATATATATGCCTATTGGCTACCTTTGTATTATCTCAAATATTGATCTCTACAATGACCAAAGAATATTTAAGAGAAAAATGTGACTATTATTTTTTTTTTGCCATATATGGCTGACAACGCATTCATGGAGAATAAAAACAGTGCGTTCTATTTGTGGTTATAGCTGTTGTCCCAATATTTTTATTTATTTATTTTCTCTGTGTAGAGGTTCATATTTTATCATTAGTTGTTGTTTCTTTTTTGGGGTTTTTTTTTTGCGTTTGTGTACAGAGTCGTGTAAATTGGTGATATATATATATATATATATATATTTGTTTTCTTTACTTTGTGTTCTTTCTTTATTTTCTCTTCCCACCCCCCTCTTTTTTTTTTCTTTACATGTGCTGTCATATTGGAAGAGCAAGCAAATAACACGAAGAAACTAAAAAAAAGAAGAAAAGAAAAAAAGAAAAAGAAAAAGGTACAAGGAGGGGGAAAAAAAAAAGAAAAAAGAGAGAAAAGAAGAGAAACACAAGGTATCAGTGTTTGAACGTCAACTGTGTTTGTCTTCGTATGACAGGGTGTGAAATGTCGCGGGAGAAGAATGACAGACACGCAGATGGTAACAACAAGCCGAGCGGGGCCCCGCAATCCCCGCAACGGGCCACGGAGTCGCACAACTACACCTTTCCAACAAGTGAAGCCCAGAGGGCCGTTTATGATTATCTAAAGAAAGTAAAACCCATCGCAGAACTAAATCAACCAACGGAGGTTCAAACGTATACGGAGGCCTCCGTAAAAGATGTCCTACACCCACTTATTGAGAGCCATAATATAATCATGGTAGCGGGGGCATTTTTTGGTGATGAGGGAAAGGGAAAGACAGTGGACGCTGTTTCGCATCACCCAGGGTGTACATGTATTGCACGTGTGAATAGTGGTGAAAATGCTGGACACACTGTATATGATGATATGGGACGTAAATTTGTTTTTAATCTTGCACCATCTGGTCTTCTTACACCAGGAAAACGTAACTATGTGGGACCAGAGTGTGTAATGGACCCGATTAGTTTCATGGAGATGGAGGTGAGTCAACTCATTGCGGCAAAAGTCTCCTATCAAGATCGGTTGTTTATTGGCAATGTAATGATTGTAACACCATACCACAAATTGCTTGACCTGCTCGCCTCAGCACCGAACTCTTCTACATTAAAGGGAATGGCCCCCGTACATGCATCTAAAGTAACAAAGCGTGGTATTCGCCTTGATCACATCTTTGATGACCCAGAGGTGATGCGTCGACGGTTGGCAAAGGATATGGATACATACTTTGGCTTTCTAAAGGTAAAGGGATTATCAGATGCGGATGTCCTTCGTCGATGTGAAGAAGAAAACAGTGATGGGGTACAACGTGTACCGCAGCATGTGATGGATTTTGCCCAAGCCTCGGATAAAGTGGAGTTCTTGATTCAACTCTACACTGAACGGGTAAAGAATAATAAAGAATTTCCAACAAGATGTGATGTAACACATGAACTGCGTTCTGCATTGGCTCGAGGAGAAAAGGTCTTATTGGAAGGACCACAATCCTATTGGTTAAGTAATGCCAGAGAGAAGTTCTGGGAGAGTACCACCTCCGCAGACACCACAGCGAGTGGATTACTGGCAACAGCACAGTTTAACTTTCAGCGGTATAACGCATTGGTTATTAATGTACACAAAACACCTGGAAGCAGCCGTGTTGGTATTGGAGCTAACCCAAGCAGTTTTGTCCCTCAGGACTATTTTTCAGCACAAGGCATTAAAACATTAAAGGATCTTCCTAATAATATGTGTGTGGATTTTGACAGTATTCAACGATTATTCTTTACAAAGGCCTTCCACGCTGACAGTAAAGAATTTAATGGTATTTGGGAACCACTGGAGTTTGAAGATGCAAGCGGTAAGTACAACATTGGAGTGGCTATGGCTATCGCCTCATCACGACATCATGGTGAGTGCGGTGCAGTAACAAAGAAACCCCGCGTGTGCGGATTTTTCGATTGTGTAATGCACTTTGAGGTAACTGCAGTGCAGGGACCGTACCTTTCCATCTCCGCCCTTGACCGTGGTGATGATTACGAAAAGGTCGGTGTCACAATTGCGTACATCTATTATAATCCCAAGAAGAGTGTTGTAAATAATAACGGGCGTTTATATCAGAATGGGGATATTATCCGAGCTGGAGATGCCGTGCCTAGCGAGGCTGCACTTCACTATTGCTATCCCATTGTAAAACTCATTAATGGATGGAAGAGTACCCCAATTGCAGCCTCTAAACGTAAAGAAGGTGATCCATTACCCCGTGGGGTCTGTGAATTCATCGCTACAGTCGAACACTTTACAAAAGCAAAGGTCATTTCTATTGGAAATGGGCCAATGGGTAAGGATATTATATATATCAAGCAGTAAGTCAAGAGAGTGAGATAAAAAAAAAAAAGAAAAAAAAAAGCAATACCAAGGAATTAGCTAAGAAGAAGAAAAAGAAGGGCTAGAAGGCCGATGGGAAAAGGAAAAAAAAAAATGAGACAAAGCGTGACACTAAGTAGTGTGTGGAATTTTCCTTTCTTTTCCTTTCCTTTCCTTTCCTTTCCTTTCCTTTTCTTTTTTCTTATTTTAGTTTAAATGTGTAATAGTAGGTGGAATTGTGTAAGTTCATTATTCTGTTCTGTTCTTCATGATCATCCACTCCACTTTTGTTTGTTCAATTTTCCATATGTAGTGTGTGGATTTTTATATATATATGTATACATATATGAGTGTATTACTACACCATATATGAGTTCTACCAATGGAAAAGGAAAAAAAGAAAAAGGAATGGAGTGCAAGAGAGAGAGGAAGAGAGAAATCAGGAAAGGTGAATTTTGGAAATTTGTAATCTTATTGCCTATCACTCTTGCATATGTGATGTTGATGCTGTGTACGTATATATTCCTACGGGATTATGTTTATCCCTCTCTCGGAGAGTCTATATATATATATATATATATATATATATATAGATTAATAGCTGTATTTCACGAGGACAGACCTGCACCACTGTCTTCTCTTCCCATGTAATAAAAAATGTCAGTCTTCTCTTTTTTGTTTTTTCTTTTTTCTCTCTCATGGATGGTGTGAAGAGGCTTCTCCAATGTCATCTTTTTTTTTTTTTTTTCTTTTTGTTCTCACTCCTTCTTCTTTTTTTGTTTTTGCCGAAACTTTTCTTGGGGTTGGATTTATTCCAGTGATGAGAACGGAACGAAGAATAATAATAATAAATGTGAGAACAAAAGAAAAAAGGAAGAAGAAAAAAAAAAAGTCTGAAGATAAAAAAAAAAAAAAAAATGAACGAAGAGGAGATGGAAGGCAAAGTAAAGGGAGACTGAAGTTGAAAAAGAATATGTTTCGTGCAAAATGGGATTAGTTTTTTTTTTTTTTTTCTTTTATTTGAATTTGTTCATCAATGTTCAATTCTTTCTTTTTTTTTTTTGTTTTTTTTTT